ATACAAAGTGATCACAAGAAGTGTTACTTCACATACAATGGTTGAAGGATGGTGGCAGGGGGTTCTCCAAAGAATGGAAAAGACAGGAAGCTGCATGGGCATTGGGGAGGCAGAGTACTCTCAGAGAACACAGCTGGGCAAAGTGGAGCACGCTTCCTTGTTAAGAACAGCCAGAGTTGAGCTGTTGACAAATATTAAAAATGTTGACCAGCTACAACTGCAGGCTCTCCAGACAATAAACTCCCTTTTATTCTAGTTACAACTTTACACTATAAACATTAAATTTACGTAAACATGTAAAAATACAAATAACTGAAGTGTTATGTGAAAGTTTGATATATTATAAAAATTATATAATTCAATAATCATACAATACATATTATATATCATAAAATAAGCATTTTATTATAAGGAATATACAATAAATATTATGTGCTATATATTGTAAATATACAATATTACTATAATATGTAATAATATGCACATATAAAATTATACAAACCTATTTATATTTATAATCTAATATCTAATAATTTTTTATCAAATATAATTTAAATTATCACGTGGTAAAACATAATACTTTTGAGATTCATCCACGTTGTAGCTTGTGTCAATAAATCATTCCCTTTTATGGGTAAGTAGTATCCCATCGTATAGCTGTCCTTCAATTTGCTGAATTATTCACCCACTGATGATATTTGGTCTGTTTCCAATCTTTTGGCAATAGTTTCTGTGAACATTTGAGTCCATATGTAATTTTTCATTTCTATAGGTTAAGTACCAAGGAGTGGGATTGCTGGGTCATAGGGTTAGTATATGGTTAATTTTATAAGAACTTGCCAAATTTTGGTTCAGAGTGGATAAACCACTTTACCTTTCCAACAGCAACACATGAAAGTTTCCACTGCTATGCATCCTCAACAACTTTTGGTACTATTTAAAAAAAATTTTTTTAAAGCCATTCTAGTAAGTGTGTAGTGGTATCTCATCATGGTCTTAATTCGCATTTTTCTAATTATGTTGAGCATCTTTTCATTAGCTTATTTTCCATCTGTATCTCATACAACCATATGGATGAATTTCAAATAAATCATAAAATGAGAGATGTCAGACTCAAAAGGAGATACATGCATATGTACATGCACACATATTTCTATAACATTGTGGAAAAAAGCAAAACTATAGAGACAAGAAACAGATCAAATTAGTGACTGCAAGAGGCTGGAAATAGGGAGAGAAAGTGCCTAAAAAGGGATAGGAAGGAATTTTGGGGAGCGAAGGAAATGTTCTCTGTCTTTGATTATGGTGTTGATTACATAATTGTATGCATCTGTCAAAACTCAGAATTGTACACTAAAAAGGGTAAATATTATCTTATATAAATACCTCAATATATCTGACTTTAAAAATATTTCAGTACTCCAGTATCATAATACATATAAAAGAGAAATAATTGAAAGTAACTTACAATAAAATTACATGTTTCCCTCTGTGAGGTTTGGGCACAGCCATACAGATGTTGGTCAGATGCTTGTGTCAATTTATAACTAGTAATATTATTAACAATGACAGGATACCCTCAGTGGGCTCCACTAGCCCTGCTCCCTTAATAAGCCCTGACTTATATTAAGTCACTTCATTCTCCATAATTACATTTTATAGGTGAGGCAATTGAGGCCCGGAGGGAAAGTTTGCAGATCAGTGTTGGCACCAGGATTTGGATCCACATCCATAGCCTTCTCTGTTCTCTATTCTGACTGTATCATGGGAAGCTCAGCTTGTGGTCTTCTGATGCCCTCAGATCCTCTCTAGCCCACTCTGGGCCACTAATTCCCCAGAGGGATCTATGAAGCTAGGATCTCATCCTCAACCCTTCTCCCTCTTCCAGGTCTCCTGTCCATGCAAATAGTGGGGATGTGGAGAAGCAATGCTGGAGAACTTGCAGTAGCCACTCAGGGGCCTCGTGAAGCAATGTGGGCAATGAGGAATCAGCATTATGTTAGTGGGGACCAACTGGGGAAAAGCAAATACTACCAGGATTTAATGGAGTGGTCACAGATAATGTGTTACTGGGTAATGGGCATCAACAGACTTTTTGCTGGTTATTAAGAGGTCCTACAGAGACGGGGGATAGTGGAGGCTCCAAAATGCAGATGAAAATGTGGAGTTTATGGTGCATTATAAGTCACTGCCCTTATTTGTGGGGAGCAAAGCAGGTTAATGGCACTTACCAGTATTCAGAGGTTATTGAGGGCATCACCACATGCTGGGTTGGGGATCATTACAGACACTGCTAGGTGGGGAAATGGGAGATAATTAGTTACCATTGTTGTGATGGACAAGTATTGGAGGGAGATCAGAAACCATCCTACTATAAGTATAGAGAGAGTATTAGAAGATATTATTAGGGGCACCTGGGTGGCTCAGTCGTTAAGCGTCTGCCTTCGGCTTGGATCATGATCCCGGGGTCCTGGGATCGAGCCCCACATCGGGCTCTCTGCTCAGCGGGAAGCCTGCTTCTCCCTCTCCCACTCCCCGTGTTCCCTCCCTTGCTGTCTCTCTCTGTCAAATAAATAAAAATCTTTTAAAAAAAGATATTATTAATAGTTGGGTGTGGGGGGGCAGTATATCACAGCTCCCTATTCTGAGGACTGCAGTAGGTAGTCATGCATCACTACTTACATGAAAGTAGGAATAAATGAGGAGTATGGAGGTTACTAGACTTTGTCACAAGTGAAGTAACAGACATTATGCTGGAAGTAATTGTGGAGGAGGTAATGAGAAAATCTCCAGACACTATTTCCTGGAATTAAGGAGGAGTGATAAACACACAGTAGTGGAGTAAAAGAGGGATAATGGGTATCCAGATACTGTGCTGGTGTAGGATAAGGGGGTCTCAAGACACTCTCTTAAGGGGTCAGCAAACATTGTCCTAAGTTGGGGCAGAATTCTGGGTTGCAAGACATTTAGAAAAACCCCAGATACAGTACTGGATGAAGTAAAGGGGTTAACAGTGGGTTGCCCACCATACATTGTTCAAAGATAGAAGGCATATGGTAGATCATCAGATACTGTGAAAGGGTGAGGTGAAAGGGAGCTAAAGATGAATCAGACACTGATCTAAGGTGGAGTAATGGGATGTGTCACTAAGCACTACGAAATTTGAGGAGGGTAAAGGGGCAATTCCTAGGCTTGCCCCCTTGACCAGGTTCTGTCCCGATCCTCAACCACTATGCTGTTGTTCACAAAGGCGAGAGCATCTCTGCACAACCCCACTACTTCCCATTCCCAGTTGTTACCAGTGGACTGACCTGGAGGAACCATTCTGCTGGTTCCAATTTGGCTGCCCAGCAGCTAAGTGTTCAATCAGAGGCCACTGCTGCCAGTCTTGGGTCAGACACCTAACTTCCAAGGAAGGTCTGCCCTGTTTGCTCTTAGCCCCTTCATACTATTAGCTTTGGGCCTGTCAGAGCATAAGGAGTGGGTCTATAGGTAAGGGTCTGGGGTGAGGTAAGGTTGTGCATGCTAGGGCAAAGTGAGCAGGCTATTCTGCAATGATTTTGGAGCTCACTGTGGTATTTCTGAATCATGGTAAGAAATCCTGGAACACCAAGCATCTATGTGGGATTTCCACTGTATCAGTTTTGCCTTCTTTCAAGTGGCTGGCATCAGACCAAAAGGTTTATGGTGATATTTCAGCTTTAGGGCCAGAAAGGAGGCACAGCTCAGGTAAAAACTAGAGATGAAAAAGCTTGGTGTTTTAGGCAAGTTTGTTCTCCCCATTGGAGCATCTTATGCTGCAATATAGAAAAGATCAAAGGGAAGTTGTGATGAACAGGGTCAACACTCCACAATGTGCATTTATGGAATGCTTGTTGTTGTCAGGCACAGGTCAAGGCTCACAGTGGTGAACAAAACAGGGAAAAACATTCTAGTGTGGGAGCCATAGACAAGTAAGTAAAATATACAGGGTACCATGGCAGTAAGTGCTATGGAGAAGGAAGAGGATAGAGGGGAGGGGGCCAATATTTTAAACCAGGCAGGAAAGCACAGGGGCCTCTGTGAAAAGGTGCCACTGGAAGACATGAAGGAGCTAACCACACAAATATGAGGAACTTTGTTCTTCAAAAGAGAGTGCAAAGGCCTTGAGACAGGACCTGAACTGATGTGTTTGAGGCACATGGGGAGAGGTGCTTGTGGAGGCCATGGCATGAAGATGGACACAGAGAAGACATGAACAAATGTCGAGGTTTTTAAAATATGAGTTACTGATTTGTTATTATTATAAATGTCAGGTCATTAAGGAAGGCAAATGAGCTAGAAGAACTATGACAGCAAAAGGGAGACTGGATGAAAAGCTGACCAAAATGACCTGAAAATTCTTACCTCAGAAACTTTCCTGAGGGTAGTAGAGGTTCAGAAAACACTATGCTGGGAGCTAAATGAGGTAATGGCAGTCAGCAGACAGTGTTTAGCACTAATGCACTTATGGGTGTCAGAAGACAATGTGCTAGGGACTCATGAGGGTCAAAGACACTTTACTGGTAGATGATAAAGGGGGGTTACAAGTCATGATGCTAGAGGATAATGGGTCAACATACACTCTGAGGTTTGTGTCCGTATACATAAAGAACTTTTTTACTGAGTTATCTCTTTCTTGATGGAAATACTCAATGGGGGATGGATACACACAACCATGTTAGATTCAAGAGAAGTATGAAAAAAACACCTGAAATTGTCAGACAATGTGTTCTGCAGCAAACATCTCACAGAACTTAGGGTTTGTCACTATTGTATATATTATGTTGTTCTACCATTCAACTTGTTGGCACTTTACCTATTCCACAGTAAACAGGATTATCATTAACACGACATAACATAAACTTTCCTATGCAGAATTTGGTAACAATGTTCCATCATATATATGTTGTCTTTGTTTGTTTGTTTTTTAAAGTAGGCTCCATGCCCAGTTTGGAGCCCAATACAGGGCTCAAACTCACAACCATGAGATCAAGACCTGAGCCGAGGTCAAGAACTGGATGCTCAACCGACAGTACCACCCAGGCGTCCCTGTTCCATCATATTTTTTGTGAGAAGCCTTCTTCTAATCGGTCAAATTGACAAAATTACTTTTTCTTCCAGTATGAATGCCTCAAGGCTTAATGAAGGCAGTGACAATGTGGGAAGGGCCCCCTTCATTCAAGGCTCTTTTCTGTACAGTAATGTGTGACATTTTGATGGGGTATTTCTACTTATGATAATATGCATATTTTTCTGAACAAATTCAATGATGTAAAATCAGACCTGATCTCACTGAGGTTTTCTCATATCATTCCTCTCAAGTGTGAATACTCTGATGGACATTGAGCACAGATTTCTGGACGAAGCCTTTCCCACAGACTACACACTTATAAGGTTTGTCTCCAGTGTGTGTTGTCTGGTGTTTATTCAAATTTGACCTATCTGTGAAAGCCTTCCCACACTCAGCACATACATAAGGCTTTTCTCCTGTGTGAATTCGCTGATGCACTTGGAGTTGTGATTTCTTAGTGAAAGATTTGCCACAGTCATTGCATTCATAAGGTTTCTCTCCAGTGTGAATTCTATGATGTATAATCAACTCTGACTTCTGTCTGAAGGTCTTCCCACATTCAGAACAGATGTAGGGCTTTTCTCCAGTATGAGTTTTCTGGTGTTTACTGAGATTTGACCTGCCACTAAAGGCTTTCCCACACACAGCGCACACATATGGTTTTTCTCCTGTGTGAATTGGCTGATGCACGAGGAGCTGAGATTTGGAGGTGAAGGATTTCCCACAATCACTGCATTCATAAGGTTTCTCTCCAGTATGAATTCTCTGATGAGTAATGAAGTTTGATTTCCGGATGAAAGCTCTTCCACACTCACTGCATACATAAGGTTTCTCTCCTGTATGAATTTTCTGATGCACAATGAGTATTGACTTCTGGTTAAAGGCTTTCCCACATTCATGGCATTCATACTGTCTTTCTCCCGTATGAATTTTCTGGTGTATATTGAGGTGTGACTTTTGGGTAAAGGCTTTTCCACAGGTACCACATTCATAAGGTTTCTCTCCAGTATGAATTCTCTGATGCGTAATCAAATCTGACCTTTGTGTGAAGGCCTTTCCACATTTGGGACATATATAAGATTTCTCTCCTGTATGAGTTTTCTGATGTGTAATAAGATTTGACCTGTTGGTGAATGCCTTCCCACATTTAGTGCACATATAAGGTTTCTCTCCTGTGTGAATTCGTTTATGTACATGGAGTTGTGACTTGGAAGTAAAGGATTTCCCACAGTGGCCACATTTATAAGGTTTCTCTCCTGTGTGAATTATCTGATGTGCAATCAAGTGAGCCTTCTGGATGAAGGCTAGTCCACATTTCATGCATACATATGATTTTTCTCCTGTATGAATTCTCTGGTGCACTGTGAGTGCTGACTTCTGAGTAAAGGCTTTTCCACAATCACTGCATTCATAAGGTTTTTCCCCAGTGTGAATTCTCTGATGTATAATCAGTTCTGACCTGTATGTAAAGGCCTTACCACATTCAGTACATATGGAAGATTTCTCTCTAATTTGAACTTTCTTATGTGTAATAAGGTTGGAACTATTATTAAACATCTTCCCATATTCAGTATATATAAAGGGTTTCATTCTTGTGTGAATTCGTTGATGTACCTGGAGTTGTGACTTAGAAATGAAGGACTTCCCACAGTTATTGCATTCATATGGTTTTTCTCCAGTATGAATTCTTCGGTGTGCAATCAAGTGTGTCTTCTGGATGAAGGCCTGTCCACATTCGATACATATATAGGATCGCTCACCTGTATGAATCTTCTGATGCATCTTGAGTGTGGACTTTTGTGTAAATGCTTTGCCACAATCACTGCATTCATGGTGTCTCTCTCCAGTATGAATTTTTTGATGTATACTGAGATCGGAGTTATAAGAGAATCCTTTTCCACATTCACTGCATTCATAAAGTTTTTCTCCAGTATGAATTCTCTGGTGCCTTAAGAGAGAAGATACTTGGAAGAAAGCTTTTCCACATTCACTGCATTTATAGGGCTTCTCTCTAGTATGGGTTCTCTGATGTGTAATGAATTCTGGCTTCTTTACAAAAGCCTTCCCACAGTCGATGCACACATAAAGTTTTTCTCCTGTATGAACTTTCAGATGTACCCTGAGCTGTGACTTCTGGGTGAAGATCTTTCCAAATTCAGCACATTCATAAGATTTTTCCCCAGTATGAATTTTCTGATGTTGAGAGGGTGCTTGTTTATAGCTGAGGATTTTTCCACATTGATTATGGTCCCATAACTTCTCTCCTGTTGGAGAACACTCAGGGTCAGTACAGGAAGAAATTTTACTATCTTCAATAATCTTATTAATGTTCTTTGATGCACTGTTTCTATAATAACTGTGTAAATCTAAATTATGCTTCAAAGCATTTCCAAATGAGTCACATTGATGGGGTCTTTTTGGTGAAAGAATGTTTTGGCTCACATGAATTATTTTTCTAATGTCCTTATATTCATAATCCTTTGTAGTCAAAATTTTCTTGATGAAAGCAACATCTCTTAAAGATTTGTTTTCTCTTTGCTGATAGCTCTCTATCTGGTCACCCATCTGCCACAATTCTTCTAGAATGAAATATAACAAAATATCACTTGTAGCATCACCTTCCTTCTTAATGTAGAAAGAAGCTTTTTCAGAAATTTTTTGCTGTGATGTTTGAAACCTAAACTCTCCTCAAAGGAGAATGATGTTTTAGCTCAAAGACCAGTTAGCAGAGGCTAGAGGGGAGGGTCATATGGCTCATCCATGTTGAACAGAGAAAAGGGTGAGGGTGAATCATTTGATGAAGAGGCTAGTGACAGTGGCAATAGGAAACATTCTACAATATAATTCACTGGTTAGATTAAATAAACATTATGAACATAAACCACCATGGACAGAAGTGGAAAAAGTAAGGCAAAGAACAAGATATACAGCACAGCAACATTTATATAAATGAATAATACCCCGTCACTTTAAATTTTAAAATATCCATGCATTAAAAAATATGTTTCCATCATATAAAACAATTGCCTATGGTCAGAAGTGAGATGGGTGTGGGGAAAAAGAAATGGTAATAAATCAAAAAATAAAATACAGGAGTTCCCCCCTTATCTGAAGGAGACATGTTCCAAAACCCTCAGTGGATGCCTGAGTCCTCAGACAGTACCGAACCTAATTTTTTTTTTCTTATTCAGTCAAGCACGTTCAGCTTTTCACTTAAAGGATGCACTTTATGGCTTCTCTTTGGCATATCGAAATTGCCAACATCACTACTCTTGTGCTTTGGGGTCACTGTTAAGTAAAATAAGGGTTAAACAGAAGCACTGCAATATCATGAGAGTCAATCTGATAACCAAGATAGCTACTAACTGACTAGTGGTCAGGTACCATTCATAGCATGGATATGCTGGACAAAGGGATGATTCAACTCCCAGGCAGGATGGAGTGGGATGGCAAGAGATTTCATAATGCTACTCAGAAAGGCACACAATTTAAAACTTATGAATTGTTTATTTCTGGAATTTTCCATTTAATATTTTCAGACCATGGGTGACTATGGGTAATTGTAACTGCAGAAAGTGAAATTGCGGATAAGGTCCAACTACTGTAATAGAGAATCTTTACCCAGACTGATGATGGCAGTGTGCCCTGAATGAGGACCATGATTAAACTCAAATTTCATCATGTGAAGTATAGAAATAAAACAATTACAAAAATCAGCCAATGAGGCAGAGAGACCCCAGTTAGTGTGAAGTCAACCAACATTGGAAGGAAATATCAAAAAAGTCCCCCTAAAGATTAAGAGACAATTACCCCTAAGTCATCAGTTGGGTGAAAGGCATGGGGAATGAGGAAATGAGAAATCTTATGTTAGTGCCTATGGAGAAAACAGGAAGACAGGCTGCTGGGAGTTAATGTTCTGAAGCATCCCATAGTAGAAAGAAAGAAATGACAGAGGACTACCAGGACTGGGAGTGTGTGACTTACAGTAACTTTGAAAGAAAGCAGATCCACAAATGCCTGAATGCATAAAGAATCTTGGACAATGGGGAAGGCAGAAAGAAAAAGAATGTTTGAGAAAAGGAGCATAACCAAGAAAAAAAGAAAACCTTTAATGAGGCAGACTGGCATGTGATCCAGATTCTAAAAAGCCAAAGAAGATAATTAGGCATGATGAAGGCATTTAGTCATTTGAGAGGCCAATGTCAAGGGTCTTCAAGCAATACAAAAAAAGTTAAAGCCTTCCAAAAGAGTCCTCTTAATAGCATTTCAAAGATGCCAGTCTTTCTCAAAACAGCTGAGATTTGCTCCCCTTTCTCCCATCTATCTGAGTCACACTCACTCACCTGGACAGCTCTGATGTGGGCTCTCACCCTGCAATGCCCATGGCTCCTTTCCTTGCTCCAACATGAAAACTTCTGGTTGGGGAACTTCATACCCTGTTTGTAAGAAATGATAAAGGACTGGATCAGCTAATTATGTTTCAAAGCACAATCAATAAAGTCTTGTTCAATGAAGTTTTGTTCTTCAGGAATGTAACCATGTATTTCCGGGAACAGAGTAATATTCAGAATGCCCAAGGGGATAAAGAATCCTAGACAAGGGGCACCTGGGTGGCTCAGTCAGTTAAGCGGCTGCCTTCAGCTCAGGTCATGGTCCCAGGGTCCTGGGATCGAGCCCCACATCAGGCTCCCTGCTCGGCAAGAACCCTGCTTCTCCCTCTCCCACTCCCCCTGCTTGTGTTCCCTCTCTTGCTGTGTCTCTCTCTGTCAGATAAATAAATAAAATATTAAAAAAAAAAAAAATCCTAGACAAATCAAGGACAAAACCATCATACTTCATATGTCTCACAGCATTCAGCAATTGAGAATGGACACACTCTGTGTGGACCCAAGTGACTGTGCTTACCTACAGAGAGCAGGTGACTGTAGGTCTCCAGCATCACATCCCGGTACAGGTTTCTCTGAGCAAGGTCTAGATGCTGCCACTCATCTCTGCTGAAATCTACAGCCACATCCCTGAAGGACACCGATCCCTGTAAGGGCACATTCCTGTTCAATATGAATAATCAGCTTTGGGGGATGGAGAGACTATATTTAGGAATATGGAAAGTGGGTTTTGTTGTTAATTTATTTCCTCTTTTTTTTTTTCATTTTAAAAGATACATTTATTTTATTTTATTTTTTTATTTTTTTTAAAGATTTTATTTGACAGAGAGAGCATAAGCAGAGGGAGAAGCAGGTTCCCTGCTGAGCAAGGAGCCCAATGTAGGACTCAATCCCAGGACCGTGGGATCATGACCTGGGCCGAAGGCAGCCACTTAACCAACTGAGCCACCCAGGTGTCCCAAGATATATTTATTTTAGAGAGAGAGAGAGCACAAGAGTGGGAGGGTCAGAGGGAGAGAGAATCTCAAGCAGACTCCATGCTGAGTGCAGAGCCCGACGTGGGGGTCGAGTTCATGACCCTGGAATCATGACCTGAGCCAACACCAAGAGTTGGACGCCCAACCGACTGCACCATCCAAGCGCCCCTACTTCCTCTTTTTAAAAACTCACCTCCCATTTCCCTAACATTTTATTATGGAAGATTTTGAACATACAGAAAATTTTAAAGAATCTGCACAGTGAAAATCTGTATACCCACCACTCAGGATCTATCATTAACATTTTGTTTTCACACATTTATCCATCCTTTTTATCCATCCATCAATCCATCTTACTTTTATACAGTTCAGAGTAAACTGTAAATGCCAGTATACTTTGTCCTAAATACTTGAGAATGCAAATCATTAACCTGAGTGTAATATTTGTTCACCTTTCTTAAGGTAAAATTTACTCACAATGAAATGTACAAATCCACAATATACCATTTGGGAAGTTTTGATAAATACATATACCTGTTTAATACAGGAACTTTTAAAAAATGGTATTTTTTACAGAGTGCATATTGAATATCTAGTTTTACACAATATTTTGTAGAAGAAAGAAATCCAATAAAGAATTTCTGCCATTTTTTCTATACTATAGTTAATTACTTTTCAAAACTGAAAAATGAAATAGGCTCTTTTAGTCTTCTAGCAAGTGGATGAATAATTTGTGATACAGTTTCTGAACAATTTAGGACCAGTCAGTATGCTAATCCTGGGAAAAAAGAAATGAATTGTTTCTAATCTTCTAGCAACTTAAAGTCCTAAGATTTAAAAGAAGGAAAAAAGAAGACACAAGTTCACTAAAGTGTCAAAAAGTAAATCTCTTTTGAACACACTGAGGACCCAAAAAAGGAAAAGGTGTATTTGACATGGGGCAGTAAGTTTTTATTAGTTGAATTTAAGTTGAAAGATGGTAAGTGTAGGATGCCTGGGTGGCTCAGTCGGTTAAACATCTGCCTTTGGTTCAGATCATGATCCCAGGGTCCTAGGATCGAGTACTGCATTGGGCTCCCTGCTCAGTGGGGAGTCTGCTTCTCCCTCTGCACCCCCCACAACTTGTGTGCATACTCTTGCTCTCTCTTGCAAAAATAAATAAATAAAATCTTAAAAAAAAAAAAAAGAAAGATGATAAGTGTAATACAAAATGGAGGGTAGGGAAGGTCATTTCCCAAAGAAGACAAACGTGTGAGGAGATAGGAAAATACATGATGACTTTGGGGAATACTAAATAGCTCTATATAATGGAGAAAAGTCTGCATGTCATGTCAGGAAGGTGGTTATGGAAAACAGTTTGATCACAGAACAAGTAAGGATTTTTTACTTTCAGTAAAGGTAATTAATTAGATTTATATTAATTTTTTTCATATAAGATCCCTATTGCAGGATAACCAAATAAATGATGAGGAAAAGTTTCTTACAGAATGATTCTAGCTAATAAATGAAGACGTTAGAACAGAATTAGAATATCATAATTTTGTAATTCCTATGAAATTATGAATTTATTCAGTAATCATTAGTGATTGCTTAACTGTTTCAAGTGAAAGGCTGAGGAGAGGGACGCCTGGGTGGCTCAGTCAGTTAAGCATCTGCCTTCGGCTCAGGTCATGATCCCAGGGTCCTGGGATCGCGTCCCACATCAGGCTCCCTGCTCCATGCGGAGCCTGCTTCTCCCTCTGCCTCTGCCTCTCTCTCTCTCTCTCTCATGAATAAATAAATAAAATCTTTAAAAAAAAAAAAAAAAGAAAGGCTGAGGAGTTTACAGTGGATGGACCAGCTAATAACATCTACATCCAGCGATCAATTTTAACATTACAAAAGAGAGAACCAAAAATTATGTGCCTCCTGAAATGATATAGTAACTGATTTCATTACAATCAAGTATTCTTATCAAAGAAAAAGAAAAATCCAACCTGAATCTTCTAACCCTCCAGATCAAACAAATCATCCGTAGATAAAATGAAAGAAAGAAGAACATATGGAACAATGTAAGACGGAAATGTCAGCTAAATCCGGAAGGCAGCAAATGGCCCATTTCTTCAAAAAAATAAATTACAATAGAAAAGATAGTGGAAGGGAATCTTTTCTTTATTAAAAGAGACTTTAAGGGGTGCCTGGCTGGTGTTGGTAGAGCAGGTGACTCTTGATCTCAGGGTAGTGAGTCTGAGTCCCACACTGGGTGTAGAGATTACTTAAAAATAAAATCTTAAAAAAAAAAAAGAATTAAGAGTCATACTAACTAAATGCAACTTGTAGACTTTGGCCCTTCACTAAAACAAACTACATTAAAAAGACATTTATGACATATTTAAAAAAACTCAAACAATAACCAGGTACAGGATGATATCTAGGAATTACCGTTATTTTAGGTGTGATAATGACATACTAGTTATGTTAAACAAAAAGAAAGAAAAAAAGAATTCTCATCTCTTAGAGATACATGTCAAAGTATCTGCAGATAAGATAGATGTTTGGGATTTGCTTTAAAATAATCCAGCAGCTAAGGGGGCAGGAGGGTTGTTTTAGGTGGAATTAGAATGGCAGAATATTGATGACTACTAACATTAGGTGGTAAGCAAAACAGATACAAGGGCTCCTTAAACTACTCTTTTTACTTTTGTATACATTTATTTCTTTTCATAATAAAATATTTTTTAAAAACATGATCCTCCATATTAAAAAAATTTAATCTGTAAATGCATAATTGAAGGAATTCTTACCTAGAGTCATAAACATTTATTTTTAAATATTTTATTTATTTATTTGACAGAGACACAGCGAGAGAGGGAACACAAGTAGGGGGAGTGGAAGAGGCAGAAGCAGGCTTCCCACAGAGTGGGGAGCCCGATGTGGGGCTCAGTCCCAGGACCCTGCGATCATGACCTGAGCCAAAGGCGGACACTTAACGACTGAGCCACCCAAGTGCCCCGAGTCACACATTTAAAAAATAAAGGATTATAGGAGGGGTGCCTAGATGGCTCAATCAGTTGAGTGTCCGAGTCCTGGTTTCAGCTCAGGTCATGATCTTGTGGGTTATGAGATGACATCCCATGTTGGCTCTGTGCTCAGTGGGGAATCTGCTTGGGGGTTCTCTCCCTCTGCCCCTCGCACTCACTCACACACTCCCTCTCTCTCAAATAAATAAATAAATCTTTTAAAAAAAAGGATTATAGGGAGCCGAATACCCACACTCAGCAATTTATAGAAACAGTAGATAGGAAATAATGATATAAAAGAACAAACAATAGGATCTAATCAATACTTATAGACTACAACTAACAACAGTGAAGTACACATTCTTTTCAAGCACCCATTGAACAATGACCAAGACAGACCATAACCTAGCCTGTGAAACAAATCACAACAAATTTAAAAGAATTCAAATAATACATAGCATCTCTGACCATAATGGAATCAAATTAAAAAGACAACAGAAAAATCTGCAAAGGAATTATATTACAAAATAGTAATAAAAACTATCTGGAAAGCCACAAAACATTTGGAAATTAAACACACATTTCTAAATAACCTGTAAGTCAAAGAGGAATTCTCAAAAGAAAATTCAGAAAATACACAGAACTGAAAGTGAAAATACATTGTATCAAAACCTTTGGGATGCACATAAAGCAATGCTGAAAGAGAAATCATAGCACTAAATGCTTTCATTAGAAAAGCGGAAACAATCCAATTAAAAAATGGGCAGAGGTGAATAGACATTTTTCCAAAAACATATAGGAAGCCAACAGGTACATGAAAAGGTGCTCAATATCACTAAACATTAGGGAAATGCATATCAAAACCATAATGAGATACCTTATACCTGTCAGAAAGACTATTATCAAAACAAAACAACAAACAAGTAACAATTACTGATGAGGAAGTAAAGAAAAGGGAAGCCTTGTGCACTGTAAGTAAAAATGTAACTTGCCGGGGGGGTGGGGGTGGTGCTCAGTTGGTTAAGCGACCAACTCTTGACCTCAACTCAGGTCTTCATTGCAGGGTCATGAGTTCAAACCCCATGTTGGGCTCCATGCTGGGTGTGGAGCCTACTTAAAAAAAAAAAAAAAAAAAAAGTAAATTGGTGCAACCACTGTAGAAAACAGTATAGAGGTTCCTCTAAAAACTAAAACTAGGAACTACTATATGATCCAGCAATTCCATGTCTGGGTATTTATCCAAAGGAAATGAAAACAAACACAAAAAGATAGATGCCTGGGTGGCCCAGTCGGTTAAGCATCTGACTCTTGGTTTTGGCTCAGGTTATGATCTCATAGGTTTTTTGGGGTTATGAGATCAAGCCCTGCATTGGGCTCTGTGCTCGGCATGAAATCTGCTTGGGATTCTCTCTCCCTCCCTTATTTATTAAGTAAATAAATCAAAAAAGATATATGCACCCCCATGTTTACTGCAGCACTGTTCATAATAGCCAAGACGTGGAAGCAACATGTGTCCATCAATTGATGAATGGATAAAGAAAATGTGATACATACATACACACACACACACACACACACACACACACACACACAGGAATATTATTCAGCCATAAAAAAGGAAAGAAGTCTTGCCATTTGTGACAGCATGGATGGACCTAGAGGATATTATGC